CCCCTGTGATGTCTAGCACTGGGCTCTGATCACTCCTGAGGACACAGTGCCCCCCAGGACCTTTGACACCTGGGGATCTGAGGGGCCCTGGCAAAAAAAAAAAAAATTTTGCTGTTGATTTCTGTCTGCTAATTTATTTGCCTTCCTGAGTCCTATTTCTACATAATGAGTTTCTTGCTGTCTATTCAAGCTGAATTGGCTCCTGAATCAAAGAAGAAATAATTTTTTCTTCTTCATCCTCTTTATTTGCCTGTTGACTCTAGAAGGTCAGGATCCTCTCTTTCCCTTTTTTGGAGGGTTGTGATAGGATCAAGAAACCAGAATAGCAGCTGCAGTAAGATTTTCTGATGTTATAAATGATGGTGGGAGGTCAAAATTGGATGGTCGTTCGAATCCTACTTAGTGGTTCCCTGTGGGTTGAACTTTGCATTTGTGTCTCTTGAGTCTTGAGTTTTCTCTGGCCGGTAGTTTTTAGGTCCATCACGTACTGCAAGAATGGCAGATTTTGGGATCTCAGCTGGCCAGTGTGTGGCAGTGGTCTGGGATATATCATCTCCTGTAGAAGCGCTAAAAGATCTGGTGAACAAGCTTCAAACATTGACTGGGAGTGAGGGCCACGTGTCTGTGGAAAACGTCAAGCAGCTGTTGCAATGTAAGTACCTCCGCATATTGTCTTCACAGCAGAGCTGGGCCTTGAGGAGAGGGCTGCATGTTTGCAGTTCCTGGGAATCTGAGTGTTTCTTTTGAAAGCCACATGATAGTAGTGTCCAGCCACCTGTCATTTTTACTTTGAAATGTAAATTTAACAGTGTGCTTGATGATTTATAGAAGTGGTTTCTATTTCTTAGCTGCTGTTGTTGTTGTTAGGTGCCGTCGAGTCGTAGATGACTCATAGCGACCCTATGAACAGGTACAGCAAGTGGACAGACTAGGGCTAGACCACCTAGAAGAAGGTTTCACAGAAAAACAATTTGAACCTGAGGGCCACAGATTAAAATCACCCACCTTGGGCTTGATAGCATAACTTTCTGTCCATTGAGCCAGCGTAGCTCTCTCTACATTGTTGTTGTTAGGTGCCGTCGAGTTGTAGAAGACTCATAGCGACCCTATGAACGAAAGGCCTGAGCACTCTTCATAGAGTTTCCAGAGGCGAGCCATTTCGGAAACTATTACCCTTTTTTAAAAAAACCAGCACAACAACAAAACAAACAACCCTTAACCCTTCATCTAGCTTCCTTTATTACTTCCTTTTCCTGAGCAGATAAGGGGCATGGGATTCATAATATTGGAGGCAAACAGGGCAGCATCTTCATTGACCTTCTTAAAAGTGATGATGGTAGAGTAGTATAGACTGCTCCTAGGGCTCAGGTAATTGCTGAATCTTTCTGCTTTTCAACTGCCCACAAAGAATCTAGCTTTGATGTTATCTTGTCGGGTGTTGTTCCGGGAAGCACCATTCTACATGATGCTGAGATTTTGGCAGAAATGGCCCGGATCCTTCGGCCTGGAGGATGTCTTTTTCTAAGAGAGCCAGTAGAGACGGCTGTAGGTAAGAAAGTCTTTTTGTAAAGTCTGTTGAACAGGTTTGAATCTTTGGGTTTGCTCGCTTCATCTCTCCGAGCAGGACATAGACAACGGCGATCAGTGTTTCTACAGCAGTCTCCCTGTTTTAAGGATAAATTGTTCAAATCTGAAGCAGCAGTTCTAAAGAAATTGTGATCTTTGTTTAACTCATGAGGTAGTAAAATAAAAAGAAATTGCCTATCTGAAAACACCTGGACTCTGCAACAGGTGACTGGTTGAGCAAACAGTAGTGTTTTCATAAGTGGAGAACTATGCAGCAATACAAAGGAAGAGATGACACATGTACATTGTGGATGGATCTAAAGGGAATGATGTTAAATGAAAAACCCAGTCTTCAAGAAGTTATATGGTTCCAGTATATAACATTCCCGAAATAACAAAATTTTTGTGTTAGAGAACAGTTGTGTAAAATCTCTAAGGATCCCTGTGGTGGAATATTTTTGTATCTTGATTGTGGTGATGTTGAAACAAATCTGGTCATCATATGATCATATAATGGAACTGCTCTTACCTAAGTCAGGGCATGAAATCTGAATAAACTCCATGGACTATACCAGTGTGAGTGTCTGATCTCCATGCTGTCCTTTATACGTGATGCTCCCACGAGAAGCAGCTGGGTTCATCGGACTTACCTGAACATTTCTTTCCAAATTCCTGTGAATTGATTCTTATTTCAAAGTAAAAAATTTTAATAATAGCCTGGGGATGATGAAGTAACTAATTATTGATTCATGTGAAACAGAAAATCTGGCCCAATGGGATGGGGAAGCGACAGGGTCAGTGATGTAGCTGTCCAAAAAAAAAAAATCATTCAGTTCTGGCTTTTTATCAATTTTCGATAGTCTTTTCATTAAAATTTATTGTTTTGTTTTATCAGTAAAGATAATAGAAAAGAAAGGGTTGTGACATGTATAATCATTGTAGAAATATAAACTTAAGCTGGTATTAATTAACAGTCTTTGCTGGGAATTTAAACCTCTAGTGACTAAACACAGTATCTCTTTGTTAGAACTATACAGAGAAAATTGTACTTTTGTGTACTTTAAGTTTATAAAGCTGTTTGGTAATCACTATTTTAACACCCCTGGAGATGTATATACTTCCCAGAAGCAGAGAATGATGAGGGGGGGAAAAAAATGGAATTATAAAACTTAAGAGCAATTTAAACATCCAAAAGGATTAATCAATTTAAAATACCATCACCAAAATGTATATGCCTTAAACAAAATAGATTATTATCGATTGGATATCTGCTCACCCAGATAGGATAGAGCTTTATTCTTGCTTTGACCTATAAAGATACTACTATGAGTTTTCCTTTTGGCAGGTAACAATAGCAAATTAAAGACAGCGCCTAAATTGTGTTCAACCCTGACTCTTTCTGGTCTTGTGGAAGTAAAAGAGGTATGTTTGTAGACAAAACTTTTTTGATAAGGATTTAAATATTTTATAACTAAACATGATATCTCTTTGTAAAAACTCTGTAGAGAAAATAACAACCCTAAAGATGAAATAATAATTGTTGCTTTAAAAAAGTGATAGAAGTTCCTAGTGGCAAGAAGCTACACTGCAATCCCAGAGGTGTGTGATTCGAATCCACCAAATGCTCTGCTGGAGAAGGAGGGACAATCTCCTCCTCTACCAGTCAGATCCGATTTGATGGCACACACACACAAGTGATACAAATTAAGAAATGCTACCCACCTGAGAAAACAGTGGTGTCTCAGAGAACAAAACTCTGGAAATTGGTGTCCTTAGAAGAGACTCAGCTTGAGCCAGCCAGTATGGTTTGGACAGTCTCCTCAGTGCTGCTGTAGTTGTGGTTACTGTTGAGGTGGGATGAGCTCACACACCGATCAGTAAATGAGCACAGACCTCAGGGCTGGTTGAAGCACCAGGGCCATCCATTAGGGAGCTTCTGGGGGTGAGAAACTGCACTGCAGTCCTGAGGCGGTCTGTGGGTCAAATCTGCCGGCTGCTCTGCAGAAGAAATATGGGCAGTTTTTTCCCGTGTGATTAACTACCCCTGTAAACCCACTGGAGGGTCAGCTGTGAGTTGGTTCTGACTCGACAGTACACAGCAACAGGTCATCGATTGGAGCTCTTGTGACCTGGGCTGTCAGGAGATGCACTGCTGATCCAACATCTCACTCTTCTAATCCACCAGAGGAGGAAAGCTAGGCACTCTGGTCCTGTGCAGTTTACAGCAGCTATGAGTCGGTTCTGACGCGGTGGCAGTGAATGAGTGAGATCTGCCATCCTCTGCATTTTGGTGGGAGGCTGATAAGTCCAGGGGAAATCCCGTTTCCAACAATACAGTGTTGTTGTTGAGTCCATTTGGAGCAACCTCATAGCTGACCCTCCAGCAGGTTTCCAGAGACGTTGACTGGCACGGGAGGAGTTTTCCCATCTTTCTCTGGAGGAGCAGCTGGTGGGCTTGAATCACTTGCCTTTGAGTTGACGGCGACTCCTTACCTACAGGGCCACCAGTATATAAATAAAAAAGACACATATTTCTGCAGTGTTAAAATGTTCTGACTATGCCAGTGATTTGCTGATGTAGGGCCTTAATTTATTTAATGTCTACTCTTTTCCTTGTTTTAAAATAATATTTTTTTGTTTCATTGTAAAATAAGTAAAAGTTCAGATAATACTGGTGACTATAAGGAGATGCAGTGCTGATTGAACATTACAAATACACATGGCAGTGCTGGTTCACACGCCTCCCCAGAGGAAGCCAGAAGTGCTTGGATTTTTTTTTTCTTTTTTCCCAGTGCATATTTTGATTACCCATTCAGATGTTTTTGCATGTTTATAAGTAGTCGTTCAGTTGTATAAACTTCTTTTTCTAAAATATGTGTTGTTCTGCCCCAGTTTATTTCTCACTGTTAAATATCTTAGACATTGACCCCCCCCTCCTCAAGTCAGTGCCCTCTCAATCTTGGTAATGGTGTCAGTACATATATTTCATGCTAGAAATGGACTATTTAGTTAGGCATTTTGTTATTTTTTTAAGATTAAATAGCCACTTCCTCCTCTCTTTTACCTGTACTGTCCAGGTAAACTAGAAAACATTTCTCTCTCTAGTTCTCTCACTTTGGGGCTGCATTATCTTCACTGTCTTCATTGTGGGCATGTGACCCTCTGTAAGTGTTCCTATTGGGTGGGACTCTGTATAATCATAGGCAGTACACCTCTCAGCAGTTTGTACCTGCTAGACAGAACTTTGATCACTACTTTAAACCTTTCTGAAGAGTAGGCTCAGAGTAATCAAAAGAACAAAATGGACAATCGGGCTTTGACCAGTGAGAAACCGAGTAATGGGTGTGAGGCGATACCTGCTTTCTCCAGTGACTATGCCTCACGCCTGGCAGTGAAGATTTGACATGAACTCAGTAGAATGTGATTTTTACAGGAGGAGCATGGGCTAATTCTTTTGATGTCTGGAATTCCAGTTGCAGCGGGAAGCCTTGAATCCGGAGGAGTTAGCATCTGTCAAAGAACACCTAGATTACCAAAGTGATGGCTTGCTCTTTGTGCAAGTCACGGGCAGAAAGCCAAACTTTGAAGTGGGTTCTTCGAGTCAGCTCAAGCTTTCCATTGCCAAGAAGTCTCCTTCAGGTGAGGCTGCTGCAGGTTCATTCTTCTCTTTAAAGGGATTCAGGGGGCATACTATGTTAATTAAGCTGGAGATAGAAGTGAGGTGGTGGATTTTCAGAGGATACGTCTTTCCTGAAGTCCTATCAATTCTCAGTGGAAGAATGCCTGATATACTATTATGCTGAGCATCCTGGATTAGGGAAGTCTGCTGTTAGTGACCTCTCCAGAGTGTTGAAATACAAACATGTCAGTCTGGAGACTAAGGTACTCCTGATCCAGGCCATGGTCTTCACAGTTATTTGCTGTGCTTCAGGGAGCTGGACAGTGATTAAGGATGATAGAAGAAGAAGCGATGCCTTTGCATTAATGGTGTTGGAGATCCATGGTGTTACCATGGATTGCCAAGAGAACAAAAAACAGGTCTATCCCAGAGAGTGAAACCAACATGCTCTCTGGAAGCAAGGATTTTGAAGCTCCATCTCACATAGATTGAACATGTTGCCAGGAGGGGCCAGGCCTTGGAGAAGGACATCATGCTTGGGAGGGAGGAGGGACAGCGCAGGAGAGGGAAACCCTGGGTGAGATGAATTGACACAGTGACTGGGGTAATGGGGCAGAGACAGTGACATTGGCTCAGGATAGGACCAGGCTCAGAGCTATTGTGCAGTTACTATCAGTTGCCAGTGACTCAGCGATAACATAACAACAACATTGAGGTCCCATACTGAAGTAATGCATGGTTATTACCTGGATCAGAACCATAGGAGACAGGGCTTCTTGCTCCAGAGGAGTCGCTTGGTTTATTCCAGTAACAGTGTCTTTCCCAACCCCAGAATGACAGCATTTAACCTGGAAAGACCATAGGTCTGGTAATGGTAGAGAAAGGGTATCCTATTTCCATATATTTTGGTTTTTAGAATCTTTTTTCCCAACGAAGGAATTCTTATTTTTGGAAAACCCTTTCTTGTGCCCTAAAATTATACCCTGCTTTGCCATGCTACAAGACTCATGAGGTTCACAGGGGTGAATTAGATAAGGCAGGGACTTAGCAAATGGTGACTTGGTGTTTTTTTTTTTTTTTTTTTTTACTTGTTGACTTTCATAAAGTGATTAGTCCCAAGGTTGTATCTTCTGTGAGTGGAAAGGCTGGGCCTTGAACCCAGGGCAACTGCCTCATGGTCTAGTACATTCTCTCCTGCATGTAGTTTCTCAATAGGAAACACTTGCTGCAATTTGTGCGTGCTGCGCTTATGTACATTTTCTCTTGTTTTCTGGGGCTCAGAGAAGCCTGCTTTGGACCCTGCTGCTGTCAAGCTCTGGACACTGTCTGCCAACGATATGGAGGATGACAGCATGGTGAGTTGAATCCGTGGTCATTCCTTCCAGGCCTGGTTGAGTCTGAGAACAGCCATAATTTGGAGTGACCTCTGTGGCGTTGCTGCCGTGAGGTATTGACAGTTCAGTGCCATGTTTATGCCTGTTACTAGTATCTTTTATTTAGGAGAAAACTCTACATTGGTAGCATTGTTAATTTCTTTGTTGTATCTCTTATCCCTGGAGATTTTCTTGATCTCACTTCATGTGATAGATTTAATATTCTGTAGGTATGTGTAAGTCTCAAATCTTTATTGGCCCTGTTGTCAGTTGAAGACTCAATGTCTTCAGAACTGTATGTTCCATTTTTAAGCAAGTTCCTGATTTATACAATTTAAATTCGTTTACATGGTCAGCAAAGGAACTTGTGCTCTCACAGTTTACAGACTAATTTTGTGTTTATCAAAGAATTACATAAGTGTGTGTATGTTTTGCCCTTTGCTCTGAAATATCATAAAAAATGCTCGATTCCTTTTTCACAAGAAAGCTCTTTTTCCCCTGCCAGTTCCTCTTACTACAAACATACACAAAACGCCTGTTCTCTACATACTGCTAGCCAAGTCTTAAAACAAGTTCTCACGTTAATTAGTTTCATCCTAACACATCTTTTGTGGACCTAGCTTATCACTGGTCTCTTGACTCAAGGTTTAGCTCAGAGTAAGGCAGGCCTGAGATAGCCCAGTCACTGCACTGCACTGAGTTGACTTGGCCTTACTACCTGTCACTTTTCATTTTTCTTTAGCAGAGATCAGGACTGTGTCACTAATTGCTTTAAATCCTCTCTAGGATCTCATTGACTCAGATGAACTGTTGGATCCAGAAGATTTGAAAAAACCTGATCCAGCTTCCCTGCGAGCTCCTTCATGTGGAGAAGGGAAGAAGAGGAAGGCTTGTAAGAATTGGTAAGTGTTACTTTTAAAACAAATGCTCTGTTTTGGAGTGTCTTATGTATATAGAGCAGTAGGGAGCTCTGGTGGCCTAGTGGTAAAAAACTGTACTGCAATCCCAAAGCCACGTAATTCAGGTCTACTGTGGGAGAGGGGTGGGCATACTTCTTTTTTTTTTTTAATATTCTTTTTTTTTTTATTTTAATTTTTATTTTTTTTTCTCCTATATTTTATTAATTTTCATAAACATTTACAGAGATTTTGGGTTTCCATTCATTCATTGTTGCACTATTCTCTCTACCCTCCTCCCAGTTTGTTCTTGTCCAAATGCCACAGTGCTTGTCAAAGGGGTGGGCATACTTCTGTGCGATTTACTGCCTGTGAAAAGGCACTGGTGGGTTGGCTATGTGTCAGTTCTGACTAGATGGCACACAACAACATACAAAATATTAAAAGGTCCATTTTAAATACTATTAAAGTGAAACCTATCTACTACTCACCCAAGTTCAGAAATAGCAACTGACTAGTGGCAGAATTCACTGTCTGCACACACGTCCTCAGCTGTGTCTTCCTTCTTCTCCATAAGCCGTGACCACTCTAAAGTTTGTTCCCACCTCACTGTGGCTTTTTGGTGGTTTACTCCATAGGTGTAACTCTCCAAACAGTGTACTACTTAGTTGTGAAGAAGTGAGTGGCCAGCCCAAATCTATTATGTAGAGAAAGGGCAGGACTCTTCTGTGTAAAGGTCCCAGGAGAAGGAAAGGTGAGCTGAGCAGGTTTTGAGTCATGGATTGTTACCAATTTTGAGGCTCTATGAGCCCTGGATTAGTTACCTAAAGCTACTGTAATAATGAAACAGAAACTTAGGGATGTTAACAGGTTACAATTCAGGTTGGCAACAGCTTATAGTTCCTTAGTCAGAACAGCTTCTCGGGAATGCTTGTAGGCCATTTGACCTTCAGCCTCATGGCTTAGGTCAGTGTTACAGAGTTCTGCCCACTAAGGTGTCTTTCCTCATCCTCCAGCGAGCCTTTGGATGAGAGCCCCCGACTCTGGCTCCCTGGGGCCACAGTCCTGAGTCAGCTCTGTCTCCTGTTCGTTTCTGCTTCTCTGCTGAGGCACCTGTAGCTCTTGGATTTCCTGCCTGGGATTTACTCGCCGTCTGACTGCAGCAGGAATCCACCTCCAAGGGATGCATGTTGCATTCTCTGGTGCTGCTTAGTGAAATTCCTATCTTCCATATGGTGTCATCACTTTATTGTTGATAATGGCTTTCCCCGCTTTGACTTTGACCATGTGACTGGGTGGGAACCTGAAACAAGGAATGTATAAGCTCATCATTATGGACTTGGTCAGTTTTTCCATCCCACCAAGTTTAGCAGGAAGATAGAAATATCACTAAGCAGCATCAGAGAACACAACATGCATCCTTTGGAGGTGGATTAAATGATATCCTGTGTTTTTTAAAAAATGTACGTGACAGGCTTCTTTTCTCTTGATAGTGATGGTGCCTCCAAAGTTTCTTCCCTCCAGGTTTTTGTTGTGACTTGTTTGTTCCTGTTTCTTTGGTCACTGACTTTGTTGTTGGAGGCATTGTTAAGCTGTGTGGTCAGGAGAAAACATTAGCTCAGGAGCCCATGTAAGCAAGGCTCCACTCTAACCTTCTGACCTCCTGTTGTCTCTTTTCATGACGGCAGCACTCACGTGGGACCAGGATTCCCAGGCTCAGTTACGTGCGCCCTTGACTTCCTTCATTCGGTCTTCTCCTCCAGGCGGGCTGTCTTTAGCCTGATAGTGTGTATACATGCTGAGCCTTGACAGTATCCTCGATCTGTCAACAGAGTATTCTGCTGCATTGTTGTTGTTTTATACCTGATACATGCTTCTCCTAGGCTGCTTATGGGGCTAGTAGACCTCTGTAGTATTGATACTGAGCTCTTTGGGGTCTCTTGGCTCTGCCTGCCAAACTTAGACTCTTTGTACCTTTTGTTTGCTGCATCATTCATATGTCACCCTTGTGGACCTCATAGTGCTCAGCTTCTGAGGGGCTCCGGAACCCAGGGCAAGTTCAAGGGACATTGGCATGTACCACGGTCTTGGAAAAAGTACAGCCAGGGTCCTCCTTAGAGGTCAGGATGGTCAAACTCAGCCTCAGATAGAAGGGGCCAGTCCTGCTAAGGGGAGATCATGCTTGGAAAAGATGGATGGACAGTGACATCAGCGGTGGGCTTGGGCATGACACAGTGAGAGCATTGTGCTGGATCCAGCGAGATTTGATCTGTTGTGCAGATCACATAGGATTTTGAGCTGTTGTTCCTCTGGCTCCCGTCCTGCTGAGAATCAAAGTCTACTTGAGTGTACCTGACCAGCCTTAAAGATGGCAGCCTCTGACACCCTGTGGGGCAGGGCTGCTGTGCACAGGAGGGGCGCTGAGGTAGGAATTGGCTCCATAGCGGTGTGTTACTGACCGGAGCGCGTGCGGGGCGTCCCTCGCTGTGGCTTTCTCATGTCCAGTAGACCCCTCTGTCTTTCAGTTCCCATTACAGCCACTATCATCTCCTTCCCTCTTAGCCCATCTCTGTGGGTTTGTGTCTTAAAGACAATGCCTTTCCTGCAGCTGTGATGGGATTGCAGGGCAGGTGAAACTCTGTGATGTGTGTGCCCCCTTTGTCCTTTAACCCAGAAACCTGTATGTTACGTTTGTGGGTAAGTTTGGAAGAGTCTGGAAAGGTGATAAAAGGAGCCGGTAGTTTTCAGGCTGGTTTAAGCAGTGGTGTGGAATTTTTATATTTTTTTTTTTTATGGGAAGGTTATACCATTTACAAATCAGTACGTTTCAGGTAAAAATCCAGATTTTTTTTTTCCTCTTCTCAAACTGGGGAAACAACATGGCGACATGAATCTCTTTTTCTGCATGACAGTGATTGGCTATAGCCCAGTAGTGGGGGCCCTGTTGTAGGCAGGGCAGAACGTGCGCCCGCTGGTTCTGTCTCCTCCACTGCTCTTCCTGTCACCCGGAGCAGCCTCACTCATGTATGTGACCCAGCCTTCAAGCTACAGCAAGGCTGTTCTTCTCCGAGAGCGGTCTCCAGGAACACTGGGGTGCCGGCAGGAGCTTGGAGCTTCTGGGTGGTAGCGTTTCTCATCAGCTGCCAATGTCCCCCCCAGCACGTGTGGCCTTGCCGAAGAACTGGAAAAAGAGAAGTCAGAGGAACAGAAGAGCGCCCAGCCCAAGTCAGCTTGTGGAAACGTAAGTATCTGAGTCATTACTCAGCGTTCACAGACCCCCTAACACAGCCCCGACGAGCTTACTGTCCAGACAGCAGAGGAACAGGCACGTAGTTGTGTAAGCAACTGTTTGGTTGATCACAGTGGGAGGAGAGGGGGATTCTTTTATCCATTGATATTTTGGTGTTTTTTCCCCCATTTCCTATTGGGGCTTATTCAGCCATTTGACTGCAGGCTGGCTCGGATTTGAACTGTTTAGGATAATCTTGACAGCATAGCGCAAACCTGACCTCCCAGGACCCCCGGCCACTCCCCTTCAGGCCACCGAGGCTGCATTAGGAAACAAGGGCGTCTTTATTGTTGTGTCCTCTGTCCACAGTGCTACCTGGGTGACGCGTTCCGCTGTGCCAGCTGCCCCTACCTTGGGATGCCGGCCTTTAAACCCGGGGAGCAGGTGCTGCTGAGCAACAGTGGCCTTCAGGACGCATAGGACGATTCACCGTGGGCACGTTGTTCTTCCAGCCCCTGGCACGTTGTTCTTCCAGCCCCTGCCCGTCAAGTCTTCAGGACGCCTGGGGAGGTTCAACACGAGCACGTCGCCCCTCTGACTCCCACTGCTGTGCGGCCGCCCACAGTGTTTGCTCTCTGTCTGCTTGAACTGAGTTTCAGGGAGGGTTTTCAGTAGACAGTGTAAGGGCTGTGGGCGTGCACTGTGTGTAGTACTACTAGGTACCCAAAGACCAAAGTTATATAGTGAGCCTTGGTTACCCTGAGTTCAGGGCCCTCAGTATTAAGGAACAGAGTGTACCTGGAGGAGGTTCCTCTCCTGATGTTAAATTACTGATCATAGTAACTCCCTTGGACCCAGACATCCTTTAGTATTAATTAACACCCAGTAGGGAAGCTCTAGTGCTGGTTTTGTTCTGAGCCCATGGCACCTCCTGTTTTCCAGAGTTGGTGGTTTATGACACACAGTTTGTCATCACAGAAGATAAGTGTTCCATGACCTCTTCATAGCACCAGAGGAATTGCTCACGACTTGCCCGTCTGTCCCCTTCTCTCCCTCCTCTCCGCCTGGTTGTTCTGTGTAGCATCGCTGTCATTTCTGTCCATGTACAGGAATAAAACTTGAATGCGTCTACCTATCAGTTGTGTGGAGAGGTGTTTCTGATGGTCAGCCAGTCTCAACTTGAGTCACAAAGATTTCTTTCTGGAGGAACTCAGTGCCACACACCGTCGGCCAGCCCCACTTGGGAAGAAAGCCTCTGTGCTTTGGAGGCATCAGGGAGAGGAGGTTTTGGAACTCTGAAGCAGCAGTAAGGTTCTCTGACCAGAGCTGCTTGCCCAGATGGACTTGGGATCAGTCTTGCCAAAATACTCAGAGATTGTGTGGATCCGCAACCCGTATATTTATGTGTTAACAATAAAGAAAAGCATCCATTGGTATCTATCCTCGCAAGTTTGATTCTCTGAGTTTGCTTTTATTTATTAATCAGGTTCCTACTGAAGATTGTCCTTACGAATGTGGCTTAGCGCTGGGATAGTTCTCTGAAACCTCTTGATAGGCTGAGTTCTCAGATGACTCCCCGTGACCCACGAGCTTGATCAGGATTTGTTTAGAATATGATGGGAGAGGAAGACCCTCGATGTGATGGATCAATTCTGTGAGTGGAGTGGTGGGAATGAGTGTGTCTGAGACAGCGAGGTTGGCACAGGATAGAACTGTGTTTAGGGCTCTTGACATAGGGTCACTATGAGTTGTAAGTGACTCGATGGCACATAACAGCCTTACATATGCATGTAAGGTTGTGTATGGAAGTGAAGAGATTTTGCAGATTTTATAGTTAAATGTCCATATCAATTGAGTAGGAGCCCTGGTGACCCAGTGGCTCTGTATTCAAGTGCCAAACAGAAGATCAACAGTTTACATCCACCAGCTGCTCTACAGGAGAAAGGTGTGGTATTCACTCAAGAAGCTGGATTCTGTGAAGAAGAATGTGGCATCAGGATCAGCGGAGGGTCATCAGTAGCCTGCATTGTGCAGGTGGTATGACCTTGCTCGCTGAAAGTGAGGAGGATTTGAAGCACTTGCCACAGAAGATCAAAGACTACATACAGCCTTCCATATGATTGCATCTCAGCCTCAAGTCCTTACCACTACACCAATAAGCAACATCGCGATTGACGGAGAAAAGATTGAAATCGTTAACAGTTTCATCTACTTGGGTCCATAGTCAGCACCCTTGTAACAGCAGTCAGGAGACAGATTGCACTGGGCAAGTCTGCTGTCAGGGACCTCTCCAAATTACTGAGGAACAAAGGTGCCAGTTTAAGATGAGCCTGATTTAGGCCGTGGTCTTTTCCATCATTTGCTCTGGTTCTGAAACCTGGACAGTGAATAAGGATGACAGAATAATTGATGCCTTTGAGCTGTGATGTTGAAGAGTACTGAATATCCCACGGACCACCAAAGGAACAGATATACCTTGAAGTGCAGCAAGAATGCTTCTTGGAAACAAACATGGCAAAGCTTCGTCTCACATGCTTTGGGCATATTGCTAGAACTTATTCCTTGGAGAAGGACATCATGTTTGGAAAGGTGAAGGGTGAATGAGTAAAAAGACCCTCAAGATGGTTTAATCCAGTGACTACAGCAGGGGGCTCAAATGTTTCAGAGATTCACAACACAGGACAGGGTTCAGTTCTGCTGTTCATAGGATTGAATTGAGTCATACGCCACAGCTAACAACAGCAACAAAGTGTAGACATTTAAAAGAAGACATCTGAAAAAGCTTGGTTTTTTTTGGGGGGAACCCATTATTATATAATATAATTAATATCAAGACATGGAAATGATCCAAATGACCTTTAACTAGAGAACAGATTGTGCAGTGGAGCACTATACAGCAGTGAAAAATGCTGGACTTAGTAGCTTTGTGTACTGATGTAGTAGAAGACTCACAGGGTTGGGCCACCAAAGTGTGTGTGTGTGTGTTTGTGTGTGTGTAATATGAAGCTATTTGGGAGTTCCATAACATACCAAATACCAGTATATTAGAGCTACAGAGACGTGTTGACTCACACCTCTGCGTAAATATGACAAATCTAGAGAAGCAGCCCCCAGAGTGGGAAGCACAAAGGTGCCTCACTTTGGAGAGAGGAGGAAATGTCAACAGGGAAGAGGAAGTGGCTCTCAGGAGCATAGGAAAGTCTAATTCCTAAGGTGGAAGGTGGGTATGCTGGTATCAGTTCATAGAGCTTACGTGTGGGGGAGCCTTGGTGGTGCTTGGGGTCTGTTTTTGCTCCTTAACTCTCTGGAACCTCTCATCCACCCGGTCCAAGGAAGAAAGATGTATTGGGGTGGGGGGGACGGTTCTCCATTCAGTTTATAGCATTGGAAATAATAGAGGGGCAGCTCAGTGGAGGGATGGCGCAGGAGAGGAAGACCCTCGGTGAGATGGATCGATTCTGTGAGTGGAGTGGTGGGAATGAGTGTGTCTGAGACAGCGAGGTTGGCACAGGATAGAACTGTGTTTAGGACTCTTGACATAGGGTCGCTATGAGTTGTAAGTGACTCGATGGCACATAACAGCCGCCTTACATATGCATGTATTTTACAGATTGAAGACATCTCATTTTAAAAGAGCTTGGGAAACTGTTAGGGAAAATTCTCGCTAGCCTCCTGTGCCCGCTTGACTAGCATCATTACCATCCTGTGTGAATTCTACTCTTTACATTTTTGTTTTTTGGGTTTTTTTCTCTTCACATTTTTGAATGAGACTTGAACCAAATACTTCCTCATGCCAAGTGTCAGACTCTTGCAAACACCTGCTCGAAGATCCCGAGGAGCTACTCACAAGACCCCTGAGGGTCCCGCAGCAGGGCAGTCGTTGACCCTCCCGTAGGGAGATTGCCCCTTTGTCTCCCGCGAAGCCCCTTGGCAGCACGTGCCCTACCCGCTGGACGACCACGCTGGGCCGGGAGGCAAACATCAGCCCCCGGCTTGTCGTGGCCCTGCAGCGCCCTCTGGTGCCCAGTTGGGGAGCAGCTCCACTTTCAGCCTCGGCTGGAGCCGGTTCTGAAATTCACCCGGCCGCTTGTTGATGAAAATAGGTCCCTAGTCAAATACCCCATTGAGTTTATCAAGCGAGTCAGACATGCAGGCAGCTAAAATTACAGGAAGCGTGTGTGTGTGTGTAGGTGTACAAAGCAGCAGGACCCGGGCTTTAGGCTTCAGCGGAGAGGAAGCACCACACCACCAGTGGCAGGAACAATACACAGGTTCTTTCATAAACGCATAGGTTCGTTCCTCCTCGCTCGCACACGCACAATCACCGGGCCTCCTCGTCACAAACCCTAAAATGCCAATTTTCAGGGGACATAATGGCTGCTTCCATCCTGCCCCATCCACTTCGAATCCCCAATCCTGGTTCCTGCTACTGAGCTCCGGTGCCTGGTCATTGTGGGTTCAGCTCCTCCTTGGCAGACAGAACTGTAAGGACCTCCTGGTTTCTCACTGGCAGGAACTCCGGAGCGACTCCACACCCCTTTCCCCCTGCAAAGCTGGGGCGAAGTCGCTTACTCGACTTTACAATGTGAGTTTCTGGGTAAGATTTCTCTAGAGGCAAAGTTCTCTCTTGCTTTTAATAACGTTTGCAATGCACTGGAATAAACATGCTGCCTGGCCTGCTGGCGCCGAGGTGCAGGCCCAGTTCTTGTCCTCCTTTAAGGGCACCTCTTGCAGCAATCCCAAATGCAAGGGATTCAAATCCACCTCCAGCTGTGATTTACTTGCTCTTAAAACCTGTCTCAACAATGACAGCTCAGGCTCCCCCTCTCTAGGGACTGACAGTCTCCCACCTGATGGATCAGAGGACATTTTTCCTAAAGGATTCAGACTGGGGTCCCTGTCCAGGACTCCGGATCAAAGATTACTCGCTCGTCTAGCCTGGACAGGAAAGATCCAAGACACCGGGGTCACAAGAGAGGCTGCAAATCACACGGGCGGGGATTGCTTGTCTTTCTCCAAAGGAGCTTCTGGTGGATTCGACCCGCCAGAGAGACGCCACCTTTGGGTTTGTAGCCTCTGGTCACTATCAGATCTCATTGTTACATTCGCGTCCCCCTCGGTGGCCCTTGGTCCTTGCAGTGAGATAACTGGCCACAAGGGGGAAGCAGGGCGCTGTAGAGGCCGAAACCGCAAAGAACAGACTGAAGGCCACCAAATCCTAGAAAGGGAAGGCCCAGTGCCCTTGACCTTCTAAAAAGAAAAGGCCCAATGCCCTTGACCTCTGCTGTGACCAGAGAGAGAAGCCAGAGATGGTGAGAAAGAGACATCATCACCACAGGGTGGAACTAGAATCTAAAGAGTCTGATTAATAAATGAATAAAGTCTTACTTGCCAGACTCCCCTGCCGTCCCAGAACCTTCCTGTCTCCATGCTGGAGCACATGGAATGAGGGGCTTCTGGGTTATTCAGGTCTCAACACAGGCAGAGGAAGCTTCTAGTTTAATGAAGGGGGTTGGCCTGCAGATACACCCAGAACCACCGCACCGCACCGCCCTGTCAGCAGGTAAGAGAACAGTTCAAGGCCAGCCTCTCGCTAGCGTGAGTGGGTCAGTGCTGGGAGGAATGGGGCCACCACGCTTCAGGTCTGGGAGAACAGAGAGCTGGACAGAACCGCCTGATAGGGGCACTGGGAAGGGCTGGGGAGCAGAGGGAGATGATGCTCCCCTGGAGTTTTGGGGAGTGGGGCAGAGAGCACAGCAGAGGGGTTCAGACCTGGACTGGAGACCACAGGGAATATTTGGCTTGGGGGGAGCCAAGGCACCAGTGGGACAGAGCCTCACTTAAACACCTAGATTTTCTGGGGGCCTTGGGCTGCAGTGGGGATCGAGGGTCTGAGAAAGCTGGGAGGCAGGGAAGGGGCTGCAGGCAGAGCCTGGCTGTGGAAGGGCCCTGGGATGAAATGCAGCGTGCAGGGTAGTGCCCTCAGCTCCACGTCTGGCTTACAAGTGTGGGGGCTGATTGAGGACCGCAGAGATGAGGAGGAGGAGGAGTCTCAGTGGTCCTCCCCAGTTCCCCAGCTGTAGGCTCCCAGCAGGAGAGAGTGCAACTTCCTTCCCTGGTGGGGTAGTGTGAGGTCCCCTCCTGCCTCTGTCAGCCACTCACCAAGACCTCCCCTAACTGGAGTTCAGCCTGCAGCAGGCAAGACCCCCTCTTCAGCCCTGATTTCCTGTTCTAACCCAGACAGATCAGATTTTTTTCTGAGAGTCTGATACCGATACCACAGGCTAAGATGGGGCAGAACTGTTCCTCAGAGAAAACAAACACACTGACCCAGACTGAGGGCAGAGGCTTTAATACAGGCCCTTGAGTGTCCACAGCTCGAGTTCAGGAAGGGAAGGAGATGTCCATTGCTCTGAGAACCTCAGAGTCAGGCTCAGGAGGGAAGCAGTGGCTTGGACCACCATGGTCCAGGAGACAGGACATGTGACAAGGGGCTCCATGGGAATTCAAGATGTGTGACGAGGGGCGCCTTGGGAACTCAGGACTTTTTCCAGATACTTAACAGCCTTCTTCACGCGAGTCTCCTTGGGGTTTGAGCAGATGGCCCTGCCCTGGACAGTTATGAACCTGTGAGGAGAGAAACGCATCAAAGTATGAAAGACCTTCCGCGCAGGGCCCTGAGATCCAGAGAGGGTATCTATGACCGGTCTGGGACATCACATCTACCTCCAGTGTTCCCCGGCCTATCCCGGGAAGCCAGGGCTGCAGTGCAGGGAACCTTCCCTCCACCTAGGACTTCCCCCCTCCCCAAGACCACCCAGAGACTAAACTGAGAGGGGCCTGGCCTGACCAGCAGAGAGTGACCAGTCATTGGTCACTGTGTGTGCCAGGGGGTGACTCACCCCTCACTGTAAATAAAGAGGCTGGGCCTAGGGGCTAGGGGCTGGCTCAGCACAGGACCTGCGTGGAATAACAGGGGTGGCCACCTAGGGAGGGCCCTGCTTTCCCCTCCCTCTCCTACGGTGGTTCTGGGATCCCCAGGATGTGCTGGGAGCCAAACGCAGGAGGAGGCTGGCCCAGGTGGCAGACTTACACGATGGCGTCCTTGGGACACTCCTCTGAGGTCCTGTACCACCACCTCAGCCTCCCGAGGGGAATGGCACCTTTGAAGTACTCAAGGCAGCATTCCTTCCCCACATTGGTGGCTCGAGCTGGTCAGGAAGAGAGCGAGGAGTTAGCGAGTGTGGGAGCGTGATGTGAGGGGCTCTGTGTGTGCAGAAGGAGGGGTCAGTGTGCGTGCATCGGGGAGGGGCTGTGTGTGGGGAGAGTCTGTGTGTGTTTTGGGGAAGGGACTCTGTGTATTAGGGAGGATCTGTGTATGTGTGTACTGGGGAAAGTCTTTGTATATATTGGGGAGGGGTCTGTGTGCATTGGGGAAGGTCTACGTGTATGTATTGGGACAGGTCTATGTGTGTGTATCGGGGAAGAGTGTCTGTTAGGGAGGATCTATGTATGTATATTGGGGAAGGTCTGTGTGGTGTTTTGGGGAGCGGTCTCTATGTGTTAGGGAGATCTCTGTGTGTGTTTTGGGGAAGAGTTTCTCTATGTATTAGGGAAATATCTGTGTGTGTATTGAAGATTTGTGTGTGCGTATGTGTGAGTACTGGGTAACGTCTGTGTGTGTGTTTATTAGGGAGTGTGTGTGTGTTGGGGAGAGGTCTGTGTGTGTATTGGGGAAGGTCTATGTGTATGTGTATTGGGGAAGG